TTTAAAAGCTTCACATCAAATGTCTAACATACAAACTGTAATAATTTTAAGCCAACTTTTTTTCGAGGCGGGAGATCGAGAGCGGTTGCTAAGTTCCCTTACCATTCACAATGAACAGGCTTGTGTAATGAAAATTTTCCGAGTAGCTGCACATAAGCATGCGCTTTGTGGAGTTCGATCAAAGAAAACTATACTTTTCATGCTATTTTAGGCTCTTCCAACTCTTACTAACCCTGTCCTCGGGGAGATCGAGAACATCCTCATCAGCGACCATCAATCCACGGAAGACTTCCTTTGATCTCAGGGTGAAAAGTAGGATAGTTTAACATCTAAAAAAGTTCCCAATAAAGTGCCTTTAGTATGAAAGCCTTTTTCATTCTTTGAGAATTGGAAACGTACAGTACGTCCAACCTATAACAACACAACGCCAACATCCCAAGGCCAACTGTGTCGTAGATGCATGAACACTGCATCAAGTCAAGTGGATTAAATCTCCGAAGTTGTGATGCTTGCTATAAATATCAACATCTTTTGTCGCAAATACAGAACCATGCCGTTCAAAAAAAAATCCATAAGCTAAATAGGTTAGCGTACGTGAAAACATCGCACTTGCATTGCATAAATGATTAAGAATCCACCTGGAGAAAGCAGTGTGGCGCTGCTATACAAAAAATGAATCGACATAGTTATAAATGACCCAATCACCAAAAAAAAACTCTCTCCTTTGTAGATTACCCATATTCTTCAATTAATACGATTATGCTTGCGCCTCTCCAAGACAAATATTGAGTTGTTGATAGAAAATTTATTAACGCACTCATAGGGAAGGAAAAGGCTGAATTTTGCTGACGACAAGCTTCTGCTGCTGATGGGCTAGATACCCCTTGATTTTGCCCTGAAAAGGTATAAGTTACGTCATTACAGTCCCTTTGTAACATATTAAAAACGTGGCAAGAGGGCTTCTGTGACTCGCTGCATACCAAACCATGAAATCAAATCAATCAAGCATTACCGACATTCCACGCAATGCTCGTTTCCCTGATTAGGAGGAATAGGATTTAATTTACTCCTCTGAGATTTCAACCCTTTAAGTAGCAAGTAGAAAGAAAGCCTGCAGCGATTTTACAAAACTTGAATAAAAACGCTACGCTGTGTGCGCCTACACAGTGTTGACACGAAAGTTATGAAGCAAAGTAAACTTTAAACATGATAAGAGATGGAAGTTCAGGATTATTAAATAAGACTAAGAAAACCAGCTGCTAAGATAATTGTTTTTTATTTTGGTTGTCATTATTCCAGAAAATAAGGAATACAATTTGGTCGACTCAGTAGTAGCAATAACCTTTCCGTACACAACGGCTTAAAAAATAAACATTGTTTTTAATGCATTATTAACTTACTTCGAAGACTAAATTCGCCAAAATACACTCCGTTTCATCAGCGTCGATGTCCTCAACCTATGTAAAACACGAAGAAAAGTAAACGAACCACCTCCTCTCAACGGTGACCTTATCGTTTAGTCAGAACTAGCATACCCCCATCTTCTTTAAAGTTTCTGTGAAGGCGGGAACGGGCAACAAATGCGTTTTTAATATACCAGCGCTAAAAATTCTCACGAAAGGACAATATTTCCTTACATTCGCTTAAATAAGTTCCGATAGGTGATCATTTTTAGCTTCTCGAGAATCAAATATATGCCGCATGAAATAAAGAACGCCTCATTTCGTTCCAACTCTTCATTTAGTTTGCGTAGATTCCCAATCCTTAAGTCGATTAGTCAGATAAAGCAGACTCACTTTACGGCATTTGAAATTCCTTCAAATTCTTCGAGCTTGTATTTCTGAAGAAGAGCATTGTATGGTAAGATGCCCTATTTATAAAAGGTGACTAAAAATATCAACACTTTACTACCAGAAGCATCCGAACAGGTATTAAATATATCAATATCAGGCGTTTGTTTGCTTTGTTGGAAGCCAAGCATCGCTCAAAGGCAAAAGTCAAACAAGTGTTTGCTAAATGACATATGAGAATAAAATTTTTTCATTTAAAACATACCCATTTTAAGGTCCCCATCAAACATGGCCTTTCGGCCGACGTAGTAATTGTAGGTGACGCGTTGCGCAATGCTAAAATGCGCATCAATATTCACGTTTTCAATAGCGCGAATAATTGGCTTGCAAAGATTTAGTTTATTTATCTAAAAGAACGCATCAAGTTACTCAAACAGCATACTTGGAAATATATTTTAAAAAGCTGATTGGCCAAGCCCATCATTCCGCGTTTCTTCGAATCTTCAATTGCAGTTAGACTGAAGGGAAAAGCAGTAGTTAATAGACTCAACAACATTCGTAAATCTATGCATTACCAAAAAGTGAGTACCAAAAACACGTTTACAACATTTTGCTACAGGGATGAGACGAGGTGAAATATAATAATTATGCAGTATCATGCGTGATGTTAGTTGTATTCACTACACTCAAGCTGTGATTTGGAACCAAAACACACAGATACAAATGTGTACGCATAAAATTTGGGCATATTGTGAATTAAGGCGTTTGAACATCACCTAGAAAAAAGCAGCGATCCTAAAGACCCGCCTGTATGTTTAATAAAGCTTAATGGTTTTATTAACGGTCCCGAGCCTAACCAAGGGCTTTGAATAGCCTACATATTCATCAAGGGCTTTGAAACCATCTCGTCCGTTCTTTTGAAAAGTAAAGTTGCAAAAATGACAAGTTTGTCGCTCAAAACCAAGCGTGATTATTTTGATCATATCATAGATATCAAAAGGAATTAGATTTCGTAAATCGATACAAACAAGCTCGTATGAATGATAAGCGGAAAGTGCAAACCAACCTATCGGCAGCACAAATTTGAAAGAGCTTCATTATAGCCTGGGCAACACGTTCCAAATGACTTCCGTAAGCAGAGTCTGCATCATCTACTTTCTTATTACTCAAGGCGTCCAAGGCGTGGGCGAACCTTCGCAAATCCACAGCCGCAACGACAACTAAAGGAAGCATCCAATTTTCTTCCTTCGCTTCTGAGAAGACTTTGGTCAACGCTGTGATTCCATATTAAGGAAAACCCAAGCCATAGTACAGAGGTAAGTACGAACAAATCCGGTTCACTCAAAGGATATTTCACTAAAACAAGTTGGCAAGCACACGCCTCCTCGTCGTTATTCGAACCGATGGCCCACAAGCATCTGTTACTGGAGGTAAAAGCTGCAAAAGTCGCACCTGAGATGGGCTGAAAATATTTCATCCCATGGCGTTTGCAAAATATTTCCAACGACAGTCTCCGGCTCCGCCACGGCTAGTTTCGAGTTTAATGCATGTTTGTCGATACATTGAATACAAGCCTACAAGAATAACGTTCCTAAATTAAACTACCGCAAGCTCCTTCCCATGAAAGTTAGTGAGGAGGCGATGAACCTAGCCTAATAGTAATCTTTAGCCGAAGTACCTCGAATAGATAAGATTGAAGGGTCTGTGATGTCATTAAGGAACAACAAAATCCAGGCTTTGTAGCGAGGTTATTGGTTAATCGCATGGGTTCGAATCTCGCACATGACAATTGCTTATACAAACAGCCAAAGAATGTTTTGTAAGGTCGAGCAAGAATTACCATCTAATCAGGTGCTAGCATACAATTATGGCGTCATGTAGAGGTGTTGCCATCACAAATTTTACATAAGAGCATCGAATGCTCAAATTTATAATGGTGTTGCATCTTTCCCGAACTGGCCTAGAAACAAAAAGGGAGATCGAAAAGATAATTCTTAATTAGAACTCTGTCGTAAATATGAAGTCTCGCGAAGTTAAAATAAAATTCGCAAACAAAGTGGAGCTGAGTACATGTATTCCAGGG